AATTGTAGCACCACAATGGTATTCTCCTTCATTACATTACTTGTTGTTGATTGATGCTGGTGAGCCAAAGCATTTTGTTGAGGCTATGCAGGGAGATGGATATGTTAAGTGAGAGCTAGCAAGGAAAGATGCAATAAAGTTTCTTTAAAAGAATAAAAGATGGTCTTTAACCAAGCTACGAGAAGGAAAAAAGGTTTTGCAAAACAAGAGGGTTTATAGGTTAAAAGAAGAACTAGACGACAATAAAAGATATAAGGCTAGACTTGTAGTAAAAGGGTTCCAATAGAAACAAGGAATTGACTTCACAAAAATGTTCTCTTCTGTTGTCAAGATGACTACCATCAAAGTTATCTTGAGTATAGTAGCTGTAAAAAATCTTCATATAAAGTAGTTAGATGTCAAAATTACATTCCTACATGAAGATCTTGAGGAGGAAATCTTTAGTGCACAACCATAAGGTTTTGAAGCACAAGGCAAGGAGAATCTTGTATGAAAGCTTCATAAAACTTGTATGGATTGAAGCAAACACCGAGACAATGTTATATTAATGAGTTTATGAGAAACTGAGGTTTTCACAGATGTGAAGAAGATCATTATTGTTATATGTGAAAAATATAAAGACATATATATCATTCTTGCTTTATATATGTTGATGACATGTATTGTAGGAGCTAATGTGGCAGAATTAATAAGTTGAAGAAACAATTGTCATAAAATTTTGAAATGAAGGATCTTGGCCCAACCAAACAAATTCTTGGTATGTGAATCTCTAGGGATAGATCTAAAGGTATTTTTAACATATCTCAGAGAAATATATAGAAAAATTACTTAACAGATTCAATGTTGGAAATGCTAAAACCAGGAATACACCTTTGGTAACTCACTTTAAGGTTTTCAAAATGGCAATCTTCTCAAACATATGAAGAAGAATCTTATATGTCTAAAGTGCCATATGCATCTGTAGTAGGAAGCTTGATGTATGTTATGGTTTGCACCAGACTTGACATAACACATGCAGTGATAGTTGTGAGTAAGTTTCTATCAAATCCTAGAAAGAAGCATTGGAAAGGTGTGAAGTGGATATTGAGATACTTTAGGGGAACTTCAAAGAGGAATTTTCTTTTAGAAGAAGCAATCTCACTACAAGGGTTCTCTAATGCAGACTTGGGAGGAGATCTAGATGGTAGAAAGAGCACAATATGTTACATTTTTATGTTGGGTGGTACAACTATAAGTTGGAAGTCTAAACTTCAGGGAAGGTTATCCCTCTCAACCATTGAGTATGTAGTTATCTCAGAAGCAACGAAGGAGATGATATGGTTGAAAAACATTCCAAAAGAATTAGGAAAAAAATCAAGATGACCCTCCATTGTTCAATGATAATCAAAATGATATATATCTTACTAAAAATTCAGTTCTTCATTCTACATGCAAGTACATTGAATTGAAATATCATTTTATAAAATATTTGATAAATGGAGACTTGTCTTTGTCGAAGATTCCAAGTGCAGAGAATTTAGTTGATATGTTGACCAAAGTATCACAACAAATAATTTGATGCTTTGTATTACCTCAATGAGTGAATCAAGAGTAATTAATGATGAAGGAAACTACACTAGGTGATAATTTAAATCAAGCGCGTAGTGAGAGAACAATTAGCATTGTGGAGCTTAATTTAGCTCACATCACTTAATACTGTGAGATGTTGTTATCTATTTAGCTATATAAGAACTCTTGATAAAACTTAAAAGATACAACAAAATAAATATACTTCCTAGTGTAGTCATAAGACATTTGTACTACATAAGACCTTTACCTCACCACAACAAACTCTAAGTAATTAACCATATAAATTGTATCTTAAAAATATTCCAATAACTAATGTATGCATAGAATGATATTAATTTTCAGGTCTTACATTTTGTTTTATCTTCATCTCTATACATTTTGTTTTATCTTCATCTCAATGAGGTAACAAGTATATCTCTGTACTCATGTCCATATTCGCTTTCTTCCTGTTTCAATATCAATTAATTATTTTTTTATAAAAAAAAATATATAAAAAAACATAATATTATCAAATACTCAATAACAAAAAAGAAAATATTTTTATATTTTCAATGTCAAATATTTTTAAAATTTTTTTATAATGGTATAAATTTTAAATTAAAAAACTAAATAATTATATAAAATATTTTACAATTAACATAAATAAAATTTCACAACCAAAACATCTATAAAATGAAAATATTAATGAAACAAAGTTGATAAAGTTAAAAACTATTTTTTAAAATTATAAAATAAATATTTAAGTTTAAAAATATTTCAAATGTTTCTTTACTAATCTCTTTTATTATAGACCCATAAATATTATATTAAACGAAATCGCATATAAAAAGAAATTATAACAATTAACATTAAATTATTATATTATAATAAATGAAATATGTTTATAATGGTAAAATTATACTTATGAAAAAAACTAGAAAATAAAAATAATTATAAAAAATCATGAAAATAATATATTTTACATAATAAGATGCCTAAATCCTAATTTTTTAGCTTACTGGCTTACTAAGATGCCTAAATCATAAATAATCCTAATTCACATTGTTACTTAAAAATAAAATGGGTAAGACTTTATTTACATCTTAAAAAAAAACAATCTATGTCTAACGTTATGGTACTTTTAATCATTTAGAAAAAAATAACAATGGAATAAAATTTTAAGTCTACCCCTAACATGTCTTGTCCAATTTTGGTTCTTTATTGTTTTGTATCTTCCTAACACTTTAAGGATCATCTATTCTCTATAAAATATGATCATAGTACGTACAAATCACCAATTTAAAGATAAGCTAACAAAACAATATAAACCTCCAAATGAAAGTTTTAGACTCTTAGAAAAGAGATACAAGTTACAAATGGACAAACTTAAAGCATTATTTTTTTTATTAAAAATATTGTCTTTTCTAGACAAAATCTTTTCTAAAATCACTTTCACACATTAGAAAATTTAGATATTTAAATAATTAAAAATAATCTATCAATAATTCTTTTAAAACACAACAAAACTTTTACTCATAGTGTTCTCCAAAAAGCATAAGTTCTCTTAACCAAATATTAAACACAAGTAAACACTACCTAATAATCAAATAAAATTAGATCCTAGATAAATCAACTAAAATTATATATTCCAGTCACGTAAAATAGTTCAAATTTGTTTATCATTTACCTTGTAAACTGTGTACCAGCGTAAAGTTTTTCAAGAAATCCATATATAACCTAAACATCCTAAAATCCCATAAAGATGCAATTAACGATACTACTATTTTTTTTTACTTGATTTTAATATAATAGATATCCTACTGCAACCAATTTTTAATACTTAAATTTAACTTTTTATATAATATTTTCATCTTGTAATTTTAATTACACAAATTCTAATGATAATACCAAAATATAGTTTAGATGCCTTCACCCAAAATAATTCACGGTAATTGTAAAAATATTAAACCTCACATAAAATAAAATAAACTAATATTATTTAATATTATACTAACTCAAAAACATGTTTATAATCTCTGTTGTCAAAACAAAATCAATCATCAAACACCAAAAACCTAAATTTACATCACCAAATCACCAAAACCCAAAACAAAATTAATCCAACAATGTTAAACACATTTAAAAACACTAAAACTCAAAATACTAGCCACGCAATGAATTTAAAACACCAAATGCAAAGCATTATTCTAATAGTTACGTAATTAAAAAAAAATACAAAATATTAACTCACAATTATCAAAAGAAAATAACAAGACTGTACATACTCGCATAAAATTTTAGATTAACCCTTTAACTTTCACTATGTTTCTTCTTACACATTCCTCCTCAAAAAAATGCTTCATAAATATTCTCAATTTTTTGTAAGAAAACTCTGTTTCACTCTCTAAATCACTAAAAGGCCGTAGAATTGAGTGTGTAAAACTCTTAGCTAAAAAGTCAGTTATCTCCTAAGACAATATTAACTAAAAAAATAGTTTAAATATATTATTATGAAATATACTTCAGCTTTTACATTTCTTATAACCACTTTATCTGTTTAATATCTTTTTAATAATTAATAATTATCATTTAACAATAAGAATATCTTTTTATTTAAATAATTAGTACACCCAATTATCTTAATGGACAAAGAAAACAATATATAATAAAAATATGTATTTCTCTATCTAATCTGTAGATGGAAATGGGAAGTATGGAGTTAGGAACCAAACGTGATTTATGTGAGAACGGTGGTTGGCTATTAATATACTACATTGCCATAACTAACGACTCATCTTTTCGAATGGTGGTTACCTCCATATTTTCCTTCTCCAATTGAAATTTAGATTATTATATTGAATAATAATAATAATAATCGGTATAGGTCTTGATGGGGAATAAAAATGTAGTTATTACATATAATTTATTTAGATGATCGATAAATATTAATCTACAAATAAATAATAGAAAATTTGTTAGAGAATCTTGGAGAGGTAAGTGTAGAATTTGAATTTTGTAAGAAAGGTGGTTGGTTTCATCTTAAAACTCAAGGTAAGTATGCAACTCTCGTGGCCCAATTAATGCCGTAAAAATTATTAGTTGCACATGACCATGAAGCCTTAATTAATTAGTTTGGCCAATTTAACACGTAATAAATTTCTTCCAAATCGTAGACTTGTGATCTACTTTCAAAATAGTAATTACCTTTTAAAGAAAAAATAAAGATGACAAAAAAGTAATTAATATAAGAATATATCATTTGATATTATTTTCTAAAAATTTTATACATATTCCTGGACTGCATCAACGTGGTTCATGTTAATACTCATAATTTAACATTACGAAATTTAGTAAGTATTTTATAGATATTATTGATACTAGTTCTTTCTTTGTTGGTAGTTTGTGAGGTAAAATCGAACACGTCACAGTAGTTTTAGTTCATAAATGTTGGTGTGACGGAGTTGTTTCTAAACCATCAATAAAATCATTCATCTAACTCAATCCAAAAGCCATATGTTCCACCGTTTCCATTCATCTAACTCAATGGAAAACAAACACATAGCAGTTATTGCTTTTCCTTTTGGCAGCCACCTTATGCCTCTGTTAAACCTTGTTCTCAAACTCGCTCATGCTGCTCCACACTGTATATTTTCATTCATTGGCACACACACATCAAACGCAATCCTCTTCCCAAAACCCAACATTCCTAACAACATCAAGCCTTATAGCATAAGCGATGGAATCCCAGAGGGTCACGTCCTAAGCAACGATCCAACCCAAAAAATTGATCTTTTTCTCAAAACTGGTCCTCAGAACTTGCACAAGGGAATACAACTTGTTGAAGCCGAGACAAAGAAGAAAGTCACATGCATCATTTCCGATGCTTTTGTGACCTCTTCTCTCCTTGTGGCTCAGACACTCCATGTTCCTTGGATTGCCCTTTGGCTTCCCACTTCATGCTCACTTTCTCTGTATTTTTACACTGACTTGATACGCCACCACTGTGCAAACCATGCTGCAAAGACAACCTTGGATTTCCTTCCGGGGTTGTCTATGATGCGTGTTGAAGATATTCCACAGGATCTGAACGGAGAAAAAGAGAGTATATTTTTAAGGACGCTTCTTTCATTGGGTCAGGTGCTACCTCAAGCTAAGGCAGTGGTCATGAATTTCTTTGAGGAATTGGATCCACCTTTGTTTGTTCAGGACATGAGATCAAAGTTGCAGTCTTTGCTCTATGTTGTTCCACTTCCCTCTCCGCTGTTGCCACTCTCCGACAAAGATTCAAGTGGGTGTTTGTCGTGGTTGGATACCAACAGAGCCAGATCGGTGGCTTATGTTTGCTTTGGGACCGTGGTGGCACCGCCGCCCCATGAGCTTGTAGCGGTGGCAGAGGCATTGGAAGAAAGTGGGTTTCCATTTCTGTGGTCTCTAAAGGAAGGTTTAATGGGTGGTTTGCCAAATGGGTTTGTTGAGAGGACCAAGATGCGTGGGAAAGTGGTGGCTTGGACCCCTCAAACTCAAGTTTTGGCACACGATTCGATAGGAGTTTTCTTAACTCACTGTGGATCTAACTCTGTGATTGAGAGTGTCTCAAATGGGGTTCCTATGATTTGTAGGCCATTCTTTGGAGATCAAGAGATAGCTGGAAGAGTTATAGAGGATATTTGGGAGAGTGGGATGATAATAGAAGGTAGGGTGTTCACCAAAAATGCACTGCTGAAAAGCTTGAATCTGATTTTGGTGAAGGAAGAGGGGAAGAAGATCAGGGAAAATGCTCTGAAGGCAAAGAAGACTGTGGAAGATGCAGTTAAGCCTGAAGCACAAGCAGCAAAGGATTTCAAGACTTTGGTGGAAATAATTTCTACATCTTAAAGCCTTTCACTGGAGCAATCTGAAGGATGCTCCATGGGAGCTAGCTACCCATATTAAGTGTTCTTGTTATTTTACATTTATAAAATTTTAATGTGTACTTGCAGTTAGCATTCTTAGTACGTCCCCCTGCAAGATTGTTAGCCTAATCTTTAATATATGTCATATTTGGGTTTTTTTTTAAGTATATAGGTAAATTTGAAAATATTGTCCGGATATAGCCAAAATTTTAAAATATTATGCATTTAGATAAGTAGTAGGGAGTTGACACGATTTCAAATGAAGAAGTTATGTCTCTCTCCACAACTTTATCTTGACATGAGTCAGAGGTGAAGTCGTACACCCCTAAAATGATTTCAGACTTGATAATTGATTATTATGCTTTGTAATCGATTGCAAAAGACTGAACTTATGTAGAAGAAGTGCGACTTCACCTATAACATGTAAAACATATCTGATAATCGATTATAGACATCTCATAATCGATTACTAGAAAGTTTCACTATTAAAACAAAGAGTATTTTTGATTTTGTGGGCTGTATTTGTTAATTATTAGTAATTATTAGAGTTTTCATTTAAATTGTTACCATTTAAATCGTTACTATTTAAATTTACATTTCTATTATTACATTCTTACTATTTAAATTAACAATATTAGAGTTTCCATTTAAATTGTTACTATTTAAATTGTTAATTATATACAAATTAACATTTTTATTATTACATCTAAACGAAACTTATAGTAATTATTAATTATATCTAAATTAACATTTATATTATTAATTTTAAATGAAAATTGTAATAATTACTAATCATATACAAATTAACATTTCTATTATTACATTTAAATTGAAATTGTAATAATTATTAATTATATACAAACTAATATTTTTATTATTACATTTAAATTGAAATTTTAATAATTACTAATAATATACAAATTAACATTTCTATTATTACAATGAAAATTGTAATAATTATTAATTTAAATGGTTACTATTTAAATAGTAAAAATTTAAATGAAAACTCTAATAATTACTAATAATTAACATTATATAATTACACATTTTTCTTTAATTTTACTAAAATAATTATTTTTTAAAATTAACATAATTATCTTACGAGTTTTATTTTTTAAGTCACAAGTTTTTAAATTTAACCATTTTAATATTTTTTAAAGTAAAATAATTATTTATAAGAAAATTATTACTTATAAAATAAATAAAAATTATCTAAAAGATTATAAAATTTACTTATATTTATTTTTATAATAAAGAGTTTTTTTTGGTTTCATAGACCATGTTGTTTAATTATTAATAATTATTAGGTTACCATTTAAATTAGTAATTATTACAATTTTCATTTAAATATAATAATAGAAATTTTAATTTGTATATAATTAGTAATTATTATAATTTTTATTTAAGTTTAATAATAAAAAGGTTAATTTCTATATAATTAGTAATTATTATAATTTTCAAAATGTTAATTTATATATAATAGTAATTATTATCGTTTCTATTTAAATGTAATAATAAAAATGTTATTTGTATATAATTAACCATTTAAATGATATCTATTTAATAATAGAAATGTTAATTTAAATGGTGACAATTTAAATGGTAACAATCTAAATGGAAATTCTAAGAATTATTAATAATTAACCAACATAGTTCACAAAATCAAAAATATTCTTTGTTTTAACATTAAAACTCTGCAGTAACTATTACTAGAGGTCTATACAGATAAATTTGGCCTATTACAAGTAAAATTGTATCTCCTCTACATGAGTTCAGCCTTCTATAATCGATTATAAACCTGAAACATTTTAGGAGTACAATATTTTTTTCATTTGAAATCATCTCACCGTCTGTCTGTGTAACTTTTAAAATTTTTTTCTGTATCCATAAAGTGTTTTTCAAATTTATCTATATACACGTAAAAAAAAACCTCATATTTTGTGATTTTTCAAACCACAACAAAAACTACACTTTTGAGCATTTATTAGGCATGAATATTGTGCACCGTCTCGCCGTATAACATTTGGTCTCTAGGTCATTGGATTGACACAAATAAGAAATTATTTATTTTTATAATTTTCTTGGTCAATTATAACGTGTTTTTCCTGGAAGCGTGAGTCTTTTTAGACAACTAGAAGGATTATATTATTGATAAGTCAACAGAAGAGAAATATTTGCGTATATGATTCAAGTCTGTAAAAATATATTTATTACAAAATAATATATACATATAATATTATGATAATAATTATATTTATTTAATATTATTTTCAATTCAAATAAAGAACATGACATAGAATACTATAATATAGGATTTTAATAATGATTTTATTTTTATTGAATTTAATTAGTACAAATAATAAATTCTATAAGTCTATTTTTTAAAATAAACAATATTCATACCGTTACCATTTCTAATTTTTAAGTGTTAGAAATTTCATAGTAGATATATGTACATAAAAAAATAACTAAAACTAAATTTCAATTAAAGTTGTTAAACATAATTGAGAACTTAATTAATGGTAATTTCACACAATATTTATATAAGTGAATACAAAATAAGCTATAGACACTTTTTGATATAAATTCACACAATGCAAGCTAAGTGGACCAACCTGCTTCTCTCCATTGTTGATTTGTACAGATTGCAGTAGAGGGTTTTACCTTGCACCTCCAAACTCTTCGTACTACACCTCCAAAGTTTTCCAAAATACCAAACTTATCCCATAATTAAAATGGTTTGAATATTAAAAAAAAAGTTTTAATGTCTCCATAGGTCCCTATTTTCGTCCCAAATTTGAAATAGGTCCCTGATATATTTGAAGTCTTAATTAGATCCTTATTTTTGTTAATTTGATGCAAATAAATCATTTCCGTCAATTTCAGAAAACGACGTTAAGGAGTGCGTGACGTGGCATGTGTGAATGCAATTTTTTAATACTCAGAAATTTTGAATGAAGTAAATATAGTATAATCCATGCTGAAATTAATTAAACAGAGGGCAAATTTGGAAAAACTTAATGTTTTTTTTTTGCAGAAACATCTCTGGAAGGGAGAAATCAAAATCAACTTGGGGATTTTTCTATTCTAGGGCTCGTGTCGTCTCAGAGTTCGGAAAGAGTGGATGTTGTTCGAGTGGATGCCCGAGGGAGAATCAAATGTAGAATTCATGTTCAACATGTTCTTCGACTTCCAATGGTTGGCGGAATGGAAAGCATGAGTGTTTGTCAAAGACAGAAGAAATGGGTGGGGTAGCGAATATGGTGATTGATTTGAAAAATTCTGTTAAGGTTGTGGAAAAATGGATGAAGTTGTTGATAGGGGTTGTTTGTTGTATTTGTGTGGTTAATATTATTGTAA